TTTGCTACATGTCTTTTGCCACTCTTTCTATTTCTCCCTACTTTACTGTCGCCTCTTTACTGCACTATATAATAACAAGTGAGTGTCTGACGAGTGTATAAGGTACTGCATATTTGGCAGCAAGAGTGTTTTTAAGAAAAGCTGTCGTAACGTGCACTGAAGCTTTTTAGGCAGGACCAGACGACTCAAAGGAAAACTGAAATTTCCATCTGCAGTCATTAATATTTGTGGCACTCTTCTGTTCAGGAACCTGAACGCTTTTCCATGCGTATACATGAAAAGCCAGGGGTGGCAAGAGGAGCAACAAAACCTCAACACAGATGAGCGCAGGCACTCAGGGAAACAGGGATGATAAGTCAGATACAGAAAATATACAATGAAGTGGAGTGGAGTTGGGTTGCACAGAGGCTTGCAGATGCACGACAGCCAACAATGAGGTTAAATATTATTTTTTTGATCTTATTAAAGGGTTCTTTACCTACATCTGACATAATAGGACAGGAAAAAGAAAATACACATTCACAGAAGGAAGAGGACTGCACAGTTTTTCACAGCGCATCACTACACTTATTCTTCTCTTGCAGTCTCAGCTCATAGAACACCAGTCATTTATATCTTATCAAGACGTATGCTCTGTTCTGGAAGTTGTTACACAGTAGAAAAACACACATAACTCCACCCAGCTGAGACCTCCTACATCCTCATACTCCCATGAGCTTTTCACACGCCCCCAGCATTCACTACTGCGTGACAGAAAACACCAAAAAAACCTCACATTTCTCTCTAACTGACCTGGCGCTGAACCGCCGAGCGGACAGACAGGTAAAAGCGTTCATATCAAATGTGGAGCGTGGACCAGAGACAATATCAGAGTAAAAGACACAAAAAGAAGACAAACTAGAAAAGTGAAACCACTCTGTGGACCCTGGCAGACTGAAGTGATGTTGGTAATGACACTAATGATGCTGCTGATCGTTACGATAAAGACGGCAGCAGCCTCGGCGCGCGGCTCTGAAATGGACATTAGACCTGGATTTCATCCCAGTTTGGCCAAACAAACCTCGTGCCCGTCTTGCCAGGTCATGTTTGGAGTCACGGCGTTTCCCTCCAACATCTCCAGCTCCCAGTGCCTGTGAGTACACACAAACACACAAGCACACAGAGACTCACACACAAAAGGATCCACTGGTTGTGGATCCAGATGTTTACTTTTTTTGCCATCATTGTTAGATTATATTAAGCTACCATGCCTAATCATCATCAATGTAACATTATAATACAGCGCTGTGCGGAATGAAACTTTACTGTATGATACTGTCAGCTGTTTGTTATTTTTCTTTGTGTTTCATCCTGATTTTAAAGAAGCACACTATTCATTTAAATGAATTAAATTAATGTGATGTAATATTTAAAGTGTAACACTGCTAGAGTGGTGAAAAATTCATATAAATCCCCTGAAAATTAGAAAAGCCCATAGAAAGCCTTCAATGGAGTGTCACACATGTTAATAGATTTTATTCCCCATTCTGTTTACTGTTTTTAAGGAGATATATGTACCAGTTTTCCTCGGATTACATTATTCCCCCTCCCCTCTAAATGAAGTCTACCTGTCACCTGATCACCATTCTTTTCTGGTAATTGTTTGCAGGCAGTATTTGATAGCATGCTTACACTTTTCTTTCTTTGAGACTCACAAGAGCTAGAAAAACTAAGGAATAGTCAAGTCCAAACCAGCAGACACAAAAAGATACCTTTCTGTCTTTACCAAGCTTTACTAAATACATGATCCCAGATATTCAATAATGCAGCTTAAAAGTTTTTCATTCCTTTTTGAGTACCCGCATCTCTCACGCTCCACACATTAAGTTTAAAATAGACCCAGTGATGTAATTCGAGTTTTTTTTCTTTCTGTAGCTTGAAAGTTTGCTTTCAAGAAAGCCTGAAACTTTAAACCTGAACAACCACAAAGTACATAAATTATAGCTTCTGCTGTTTTATAGTCTGAGCTGATTTGCTTATGTGGAGCAACTTTAATTTGTATAATTGGCGACATCCCTCAAACTGACATGCGAGTGGAGCAGCAAATGTGTCTATAAATCCCACCACCCATTCACCATATTAAAGCTATACAGTAGCTATGAAATGTTTACAAATTTGAATCCCATCCGTGAACGTGCATAATCATCCGGACGTTCCTGTCTAATCCTCGCTCATCTGCCTGGACGAGTGGTTCAGTTTTGCTCTCGACTTGACTCGGTTGGTTTCATTAAACATTTAGTGATTCGGGGAAATGCATGCAAAGTTTTTCTGCTAATCCTCGGCACCTTGTAGCGCAGCAGCAGCAGCTACTTACTATTGTTGGCCACTGAGCAGGTAGCCACAGGTTAAAGACCCCCCGCTGAGTTTTCTTGTAAACAAACAAAATGAAGGGTTTAAAAGTCAGAGCTTCCCACCAGGACAGTCTGGGTTATGAGCTTGCAGTCTTTTTCTTTTTCTTATGCTACTTTGTGTGTTACTGTTATCAATCAGCAGAATACAGGATGAAACTGGTCGAAGGATGTGTTGTCTGCACTATAACACGATGATTGCCTTAGCTGTTGCCCAGTTATGATAAAGTCCTGTTTGTACATTTTTTAAATACAGATTAAGCAATCAAGACATTCATTCATGCTTTTGGTACCAGGAAAATGAGCAAAGTTCCCATCTTTAGTGTAGAGAAATCCAAGCCTCAGGTAAAGTTAGGGCTGTGTGATATGACCAAAATCTCATATCCCGATATAAAACCTCTATCGTCCGATAACGATATAAATCACAAAAATGTAACATTTTCTGTAAATTCTGTGAATCTCGGGCAGCTCAACTTGCGGGAAGTGTTTCCAGCTGGGCGTCATGTAGCTGGAGTCGAGTGTTTTAACCGATGCATGAAACGATACATTTTTAGACATAAGTTGTAAAGGTCACAGTTTTCTTTGTGAGTATTTATTACACGGCGTGCTGCGGGGAAAAGCCTGTTCTAATGTTTGAGTCTAAGGTTTATTTTTTAGCACCTGGCAGCTCTTTTTTAATTCTCATCTGTAAATAATCTGCTCTTTCACGTGATTCAGTTTATTTTGAAAAGTCTCAACAGGATCTTGAGCTTTATTGTGAAAGATTTATGTGGAACATAAACAAGCGGACACGCGATGCTGTTACAGTCGTTGTTGCTAACCACAACGCATAAAAACAGGCGCTTGTCCTCCGTCCCTGTGGTTATATAAAATATAAGAGAAAGAGAGAACTTTAAGAAATTAATATAGCCACTACAGTGACCATCAAAACGATGAAAAAATATTGCCGTAAACAGTTTATTTTACAACACCACGAAACAAACGATAGCATAAAATGAAACTTAGACGTTTTTATATTGTCATCCGATATATATCGTTATATCAAACAGCCCTAGGTAAAGTTATTTCTACTTTCATAGTGTCACTTTAACCTGTAGTGCTTGTTTAAAGGTGACATGATTGATTTAGGTGTCTCATGCAGATCCGAGGGTGATGCCACTCATAGTAAACAGTGACCTTTTGCTTTGGCTGCTTAAACATTTGCAAAGAATCTCAAGGCCTTCCAGAGAAAGAGACAGGGTGAGGTGAAGATTAGAATCACCCTAAGCATTTATTCAAACTTCTATCGAAACGTACACACGAGCAGTTTCTCCTTACACAATCTATCTTTCCAAAAAAACAGAACAAAAAAACATAGCCTATGAGTAAATACAGCTGACACACACTCAAGACAAGGACACACTTGTGGCAGAAGAAGCAAACATCCCTAGAGATGCGCTGCGATCTCCCAGGAGGCCATGCGTGTGTTCTCTTCTGCTCTATATTTTGCTCGAAGGTCAAGGCTCGGGAACAGTGGGGATATTTGCAAGTATGCAGTAAGTATGCTGCAAGTATGCAAGACCACATGCAAAGAGCTTGGGAACTCGTGTAGACTTTCTTCACGTGTATTTTGTTTCACACATGAAAAGAAAAAAAATCTCATCGTGACTGAGTAACTGACCTTCTTCAGTGGTCAGTGTGCACACAAAGCCCCTGCGAGCCTTGTGATCAGTGTGAAGTGCTGAAACCTGATGTGAGTGGCTGTTTCTGCATCAACAGGGAAGTTAAGCAGACGCAGATCAGAGAGATTCAGCAGGGCGCCCTCTCCAGCCTCCAGCACCTAATGGAACTGTAAGTGTGCGCCTGTCGATTATGTTTGTTCTTCGATGCGGAGCATAATGTGCTGAGGAGGTCAAAACACACGAGATATGGGTCATCCAAACAGACGGGGAATAATTCAGTGGCATTCCTGGCTGTGTTACCAGGAATGCCACTGTATTCATTCAATAAAACAATTGATCCCCATATTGGGGATAAAAAAAAATTTTTATTGAATGAATAAAATCATTTTGGTCCACATTCATATTTAACAAGAGCTGGAGTTATAGATATTGATTTTGTACTCGTGTGACAATTTGTACACGGTGCCAATTAGGTTATCGCTTTGCTTTCTACATAAATATATTTCTACAATAAACTTTTATAATTAGCAAACAGTGATTTCAAATTAAATTGTTCTTTTTTTCTGCTGCTATGAATCATTTTAATTAGTAATGATTAAAATATTGATCAAGCAAGGATCAGTTGTTCAGCTTCAAAAGTGAAAATAGTTGCAGGTGCTGACTCTTACATGTTAAAGTGTAAAAGAAAGCAATCACAAGCTAAAAAATGGGCAAATGTTTGATAATAGATTGAACTTTTTAGTTGCCTCTGTTGTGATTTTCATGATTCATCTGCAGAGTTTATTTAAGAGACTTATTGATTTTAAAACCATAGGAATTGCAAATAGAAACTGTGTTTTGCACATATATTTAACCTGGGTGTGTCCTACACCCAAAGTTTGTTTTTATTTTTTAATAACTTTACAGGAAAAATCCGAGGATTCTGTCTGATTTGAGACATCGATTACAAAAAAAACCCTCCTATAATAACTTTTATATTCCTTACTTTTTCTTTTACTCGTCATTACTGCCAACTACAGGACCATATCCGAGAACGACATGCTGGAGAGTATCGGTGCTTTTGCCTTTTCTGGCCTCCCTCAGCTCACCAAAATGTGAGTATACTGATTACTAAAAGCCGCTGACTGCATAAAACAGATTTTATCCTACATGTTTGTGTTTAGTCTTTGTAATGGAACATGAAGAGCTCTGGCCTCTGAGGAAGATCACCCAAATAGTTGAGAAGTTAAGCATCCGAGGGGTGGCGGAGACAAAAAAAGACTCCAAAGAATGAGTGTGAATGAATAATAGACCACATGATTTTTTAAAATATATTTCATATTCGTGTGTTTCCCTCAGTTTAATATCTAAAAATGCTGCTCTGAGGAATATCGGGGCTTTTGCTTTCTCCGACCTCCCTGAACTCAGTGAGATGTAAGTATAACTGGCAGGATAATGGCACCTGTGAAACCCCGTAATTGCAAACCAGTCATTTATATTAATGAGAATCTGACTGAAATATGTTTCTTTCAGAATCATAACAAAGTCAAAACACCTGAGTTCCATCCACCCCGATGCATTCAGGAACATGGCAAGACTACGGTTCTTGTGAGTACTCAGTGAGAGTTCACATTTCTACCACAGTTTGTCTCTCAAAACTGATTGTGAGTCCAAAATAGGTCACGGGTGACAGCCCTACTTCTGATGGCCCGCATGATCAAAGACATTATTTTTTAATGAGCTTGGCTCCCCGGTGTCACCCTTCATCCCCAACATGGGGGGGAAAAGAAGTCTTTTTTTCCACAAAATGACTTAAAGGCCATTTCATGACTGCTACTTTAATTTGTTGCAAACAAAAAAAAAGTATCATTTTATGTCTTTTGAAACAATCTCAAAGTAGCAGTTTATAAAGAACACTGCAGCGCTCAAATCCCTTACAGACATTCTTAACTGTTACTGTTTGTCCCAATTTGTGAAAACTGGGACACATAAACAGAAATCTGCGATGGAAAAAAATAAAGCGATTGCTTTTTTAAAGAGGGCCACCTTAGTGCAAGTTTAGTTTGTTTTCAAATATTTTCCTTGGGGGTCGTGGGGGTGTTATTATGCTTGTTTACGGCTCCATATTGTTATTATAGCTTTGCAAAATTTGTAGTTCAAAATACTCCTTATTCATCTTATGCTGGGCCTTTATGCAGCACATGGAAATAATCCATTTCATCTTCTATGAGCAGGTGGGTGAGGCTCTAGACCAGGAGTCCCCAATCCCAGTCCACGAGGGCCGGTGTCCCTGCAGGTTTTAGATGTGTCCTTGATCCATCACAGCTGATTTAAATGGATAAATTACCTCCTCAGCATGTCTTGAAGTTCTTCAGAGGCCTGGTAATGAACTAATCATGTGATTCAGGTGTGTTGACCCAGGGTGAGATCTAAAACCTGCAGGGACACTGGCCCTCATGGACTGGGATTGGGGACCCCTTCTTTAGACTTAGAGCCAGACCTGTGTAAGAGGATCATAATAGGAATTCTGGCCCTCTTTAACATCACACAGAGCCAAAAGTAGAAAAAAAACTGTCGGAGCAGCCTGAGGCCTGAGCTTTTGGCTCACAGGTATTGCTTGACTATATGAAAGTAATTCTTGCCTCACAGCAAGAACGTCCTGGGATTGAAATTGTACACCGGTTAATGGGTGATTTTAAAAGATTTTAAATTGGCTGTATTGGCGCCTACACCTGATTTAGAATATTTTAAATGGCTGATCCTGTTTCCTGATCCACTAAAGGAAACACGAGAAATCAAATCAGAAGTCACTGACTGACAATCAAAGACAAAGACCAAGGAAACACTACATATACATACACACACACACACACACACACACAGATAGGGGTAACAGCTGGTTTCCAGTTGGTTATTAAACAGATGAAAACAATCAGACAGTCTGATGACCGAATGGCAAACAATCACAAAAAGAGGTAAACGTAGGAAGTAAAACCAAACATAAAACAGGATGTAAACAAGAGACAATTAGACATGAGGGCTACGACTAAACGTGATAAGAGCAACAGGAGAACACAGAAAGCAGGAGAAACTACATGCACAAAGAAACATAATAAAACCCACAAATATAGCAGGGACCGAAACACAACAAATGGCCTACATTACAAAAACACGTTGGACCTCATTGGTAAACGGTGCCTATGCACCAATCTGTGCATAAACCATGAATATGAATATTTCATGCACAAATCTGTGATTCATCGTAGCCCGAACCCTAACCTTTAATCCAGGAGTTCTCAAACTTTAAAGGGTCTTCATAATGTTGACATCCAATTAGCTGGTTCAGACTTAAAATCACTTATCAACATGGAGTGACTCAGAGTTATATTTAGTATAATTAGCTACCTGGCTGGTTAATAAGCCAGGCTACTCAGCAGTTGTAGCTCAGCGCACCCTGAGAGGAGCAAATGTTTTCATGACAGACTGATGTGAAGTGTCACAATTATATCAGAGTTTCTGCAGTGAAAATGTGGGAGGAAGCAATGGATACGTTACACTTTTGTTATTAGTAGAAAGTTTCTCCATTAGTATACATGTCTCTTTCAAGGAGCAAGACTTTATTGTAATTCTTTAAAGTTATCTTGAGCAAAAGTTCTCCAGGCTTTCTGAAGTTTTTCTTTAGACACTGTTTGCT